CTGTGTTAATTGGTTTCCCTTTTCTTTGTTGAAGAGCGTTCGTGCAGTCCTTCTGCCTAGTCCGCCATCTTGCCGGAACTCCCCCAGACTGAACTTCTTGATTACTACTTCTGCAGCAAACCAAAGGCTCAGGTTTATTGAGTAAAAATAAAAGTTCTGAACCATCTGAGGCAATGCTAATGAGAGACGTACCAGGTAATGCAATCATTCTTAAGCGGGATGGTTTTTGCCCCCCCAGAGGACATTTTGACATGTCTGGAAAAATTTTTGGTTGTCATGAGTAGGGGTGGAAGGGTAGTAACTGGCATCTAGTGAGAGAGGTCTGAGACGCTGCTAAACATTCTATAATACACAACACAGCCCCCTACAACAAAGAATTTTCTAGTCCAAGACAACATAGTACAAAAGTTGAAAAATTCTGATGTAATATCTATAAGCTATTTATTATGTATATTTATTTGTCTGTTTCCAGACTTTATGGCCACCCTGCAGCAAGGTCTTCTTTCAAGCAAAAGCCAGAAGAGTAGATTTCCTGTGAGGGCGAGTGTAGTGACTGTTTAGCTCATCATGTTTCCCTGGCATTAGCAGTGCACAAAGCACATAGGGGAGCACAGTACTTCCGTATTTGTTCTCTAACTGTTCACGTACCAGGTTTATGAGGGGGAGAGAGTCACCCTAAGGAGCAGTCCAAATTCTAAAATTTTATTTCTAAAAATTTCCTATTTAATTTGCTAATTATTTCCGTGAAGAGATTATTAGCTAGAAATCTATCCTTCAGCCATTATGCAAAAATACACCATACATTCAAAATTTCATACATATATAACACAAATATAAATAGTTTAACACTGATTTTTTAAATGAAATATATTCTGGTATTTTCAGAAAATAGAGATAAAATACAATTTTTTATTATAAACGTCCTTGGACCAAAAGAGGCAATTCTCTCTAGTTATAGCTTTTATGAAATAATGATCAGTACAGTATAGTGCATGAAGGTGCACTGGTGGCACAGTGCCTAAGACATGTGACTGCTAACCAGAAAGTTGGTGGTTCAAACCTACCAGTTGCTCCACAGAAGGAAGATGGGGCATTCTACTTCTGTTAAGATTTACACCCTTGGAAACCCAACAGGGGTTGCTATGAGTTGGGATCAACTGGATGGCAGTAAATTTGGTTTTTGGAGTATAGTACGTAGCTCCTAGAAACTGCTGATAACCAAGGCTAAGAAGTGAAATAACTTCTAAATGTAGGAAACATTTTAAGACTATCAATCAGATTTTTTTTCCTCTGTTCAAAAGAATAATTTTCATTTTATTTCAGTCCTTAAGCATAGAAAATTAAATTATTCACAGCTGGTAAAATGGATTTAAAAAATAAATAAGAAGTGAAATTAACTTTCTATCAATTCCTATTAATAGAGACTATTAATTTTCTACCAGAAGAGGTGTTGTTGCTTGTGTGTGCCACTGAGTTGATTCCAACTCATAGAAGCCCTACAGGACAGAACAGACTGCCTCACACACTGTCATCTTTATGAGAGCAGACTGCAGGTCTTTTCTCCCGTGAAGCCACTGGTAGATTCGAACTGCTGAAATTTCAGCTACCAGCCAAGTGCTTGCTTAACCATCGTGCCACCAGGTCTCCCAAAAGAGGCAATAAACGTTAAAAAAAAAAAAAAAGTCAAGTATAGTTCTAACTTCTCAAAAGATATGTCAAATGAGTAAGTTGGTCAATAATTTTTAAATGATGTCATTTTCTAAATTTTTAAAAAGTGACTATTAAATAACATTTAAATAGGTAATATTTCACCTCAAATTAAATTATACCTGAACTGAGTTGTTTTATCAACTTTAAAAAAAATCAAGTACTTAGCATTTCAAAATGTCAACTAAAAAATAATCTTGCATTTAAAGATTTAGTAAAATATCACTGCCATGTTATTTTGGCCATAGGTCTGTTAAGCTAAATAATCTCAAAATATATGTGTTAGCTAACCTCTCTATTTCAACATCTAAAATAAACAATCCTTGGAAACTATTTCTCACAACCAGGGAGGAGTGAACCACAACTGTCTAAAACCAAGATTTTATTTGATGATGGAAACTTAGAAAAAGAGAAGCATGACAGAGAGAAAGCTGTTTAAATCATCCTTTAAGTGTGAAATGGATAACTTACTAGATAAAACCAATAGGTGAAGGCATGTCACAGTTTCATTTGAAAGGGTATGATGTGACTATAATGGTAACTATACACAGAAAAGTCAAAGAAACAAAGGACTTTTCTGACGTAGCTCTGGTGGCATAGTGCCTAAGGCATTTGACTGCTAACCAGAAGGCTGGCAGTTCAAACCCATGAGCCACTCCTCGGAAGAAAGATTGGGCAATCTACTTCTGAGGTGATCCTGCCTTGGAAACCAAAGGAGGGGTCACTATGAGTCAGATCCAACTGAAGGCAGTGAGTTGTTTTCATTGTTGTTACAATGAGTCATACTTACAGCCACAGAAGCCCATTGCCATGCTAAACAGTGACTGGTTGGAATCTGATCGTGTGAACAATAACAGCCAAGAAGAAGCAAAGGACAAAGTACCGCCAATCAATATCAAGAGTTGTCATGTATAATATACCAGCTATACAGAATTATCAAGAAATGACTCATAGAGTCCTGTAATTGTCTGCTAAATTGGTTCCATATGAGTTTTAAAATTCTATATAAGTAATAATCTGTTACAATACCTAATTTGAAAAGTGTTATGTACACTTAAACATAGTGAAACTTCAATGTCAAAGTACCTACCATTTAAAAATGCTCAAAGCACATTTGCTATAACATAAAATATTTCTATTTTAAATAAAACATTTAAGATTGTATTTTTTACATCTATTTCCTATGTGTAATATTTAATATCCAATGAGTAAAATATGTATTCATAGGAATATTCACTCTAACCCAAGAGTTAGCTTCCATTACTTATCTAAAAGGTGAGGAGTTAATCAAAATATTCTAGTTCATAAAGAAAAAAAGAAAAAAGAACTTAAAAAAAAAAAAAAAAAAAAGTAATTTTAATACCCGAGTGAGAAAATTTATCTAAAAAACGTAAGCTCAGCTCACTGATATAGCGGAATACATATATTGTATTTCAACATACAACATACTCCAATATTTATTTAAAAAAAAAAAAAAGAAGAAGAACTTGTTTGATTTTCTAAAACAAGCAGAAGAGCAGGAATGGGATGAAGACACTGAAAGCGCACTAGGCAGAAGGCAGCACTCAAAACTCATGATTAATCTTACCGGTGCCATCCGTATTGCTGGGTGTGTTCCACAACCCTGCACGGCTTTATGAAGCGTTTCACCAAACATATTTCGAAGTTCAACTGAGTGACAATACACAGCATCAATCTTAGGCCACCAATCCAATGCAGACTGGAGAAAAATGGAAAGATCATAAGGAAGGAACAGTACAGATCTGTAAGAGCTACATGCTCTGGTTATGACTGTGGGTTTAAGTTTTATCCTTTTGTCAGAAAATTTATAAGACCATGCAAACACACGTGATAATTTCCAAAGTCTTCCATTAATATCTTTAAATTGACAAACCATATTTTTATTTTATAATAATAATAATGAGCATGAGACAAACAGCTCACTTCATGAACATGGGCATATATGAGACCGCTTTTCTTACTGATAAGCTAATGAATCTGAAAAACAAAGTCTTTGGAGAGCTAATTAGTAGCCAATCTTTTTCTTTTTTTAAGTGTAATGTTTTATATATTTCAGGTATACGTATACATATAGCATATATTTTCCCAGGTAAGAATGCTGTTATCAAAGCTTTAAAAGAGATTAGTGGTTCAACACAATGTTCAAGGAATATGTGGCAAACTATTACTTATATGCTTAAAAACAATAATAATTACAACATGAAATTAGTAAATGAAATAAAGCTATTAGTAAATCTATAATCTTAAATTGATATACAATGATGGCACAATACATGGAAGACTAACAATTACCATAAACAAAGACAAACTGATCCTAGTAAAATATTTTTCAAAGATACTTATTTCAAAATAAAGATTTTTCTATCTCCATTTTATCTGCTCAGCTTTGATATCTGCTCTTTTGTGCCTATTTTATTTGAAAGTGTAACTTTTTCTTTAAAAAGAATGAATTAATATATTATGAAAAAATGTTAATTATGAAAATCACTAAACCTATAAAGTTTGGTGATCAGTTACTGCAAAAATGATTGGATGAGTTTTCACTAAAATATGTAAAGTATGCTTGGAATTGGATAACTTAAAATACAGGCTTCCAATTTATACTATCCCTGCTATACGAAACAGCTGAAAGAATGGAAATATTCAAATTGTTATGTTGTTATGTGCCGTCGAGTCGGCCCCAACTCATAGTGACCCCTCCTTGGGTTTCCGAGGCAGTATCACTACGGAAGTAGGATTGCCCAACCGTCCTTCCGAGGAGTGGCTGGTGGGTTTGAACCGCCAGCCGTCTGGTTAGCAGGCAAGTGTCTTAGCCACTATGCTACCAGAGCTCCTAATATTCAAATAGTAGATGAAAATTAAGAGGGGACTGAATAAGTTCTCACCCTACTCCCAGGTTCCTTCTTATTCAAGAGCAAGTTGGTTAAATTCTCAACAGTTAATTTCTTCACACCTAATTCTCATAATATTTTGAGTAGCATTAAGTTATATTACCATAACCCAACATTTTGATATTATAAACTCTATTTACTAGATAGTAAAATATAAACCATATAAAATATACATTTATGGTACATAAACTGAATACTGAACCCCAACAGAAAGGGATCCTAAAGCTGTGAGGGAAGAAATATGTTTTGGGGATAGTAACATTATTTACGGTCTTCCTTAAACTTTTACTCTACCTAACAAATTTCTAACAAATGATACATTTTTAGTTTGTTTATATAATTGATTCAAACCTTGGGCAATTTAGTCACCTGACTTTCTCAAGAAACTAATACAAATTGATTTCTATATATTTATTGTTTCTTTACAGCTTGTATCAACAGCTTAAAATAACACAGAGTTGAATAATCATAAAGTACATTGTGAAAGGGTTTACCTGTAAATCCTGTAATATTTTGTCAGAAGCGAATTAAAGTGGCATAGTGCCTAAGGCATTTGACTGCTAACCAGAAGGCTGCTGGTTCAAACCCACCAGCCACTCCTTGGAAAGAAGACTGGGCAATCTATTTCTATAGTGAAACCGCCTTGGAAACCCAAGAAGGGGTTGCTATGAGTCAGATCTGACTTGACAGCAGTGATTCTGTTTTTCTTTTTTTTTCTTGATATGCATCCCATATAATATCTTATCCAAATTATAGTGTCACTTTCATGCTGTATTGTGGTATCAGGCCAAACTTATAAAATCTTTTTTAGATTTACTATTTTATATCAAGTAATTGGTAAAAATTTTAGTATATTACTGTTCTTTTTGAGCAGTTATCAAACATGTCCTTTTGGAAACTAAAGTACATGTGTTTCTTTTGCCTTTGAAAACACTGTTTTTTCCAACAAATGAGCATAAGTAAACAATATGAGCAAACACTGGACAATTTAAGGGAATTTTAAATAAATTTTCAAATGCCTCAGAAACAACTCCTTCAATTAAAACCTCTCAGTGGAAACAGATCATCTGATTCTCAATATGTGAGCTATCCATAAGTACACGCAATAAACTGCTATACGTAAAAATAGAACACTAAGTACTATACCAACCATAGTGTGTACTAGTGATCGCTAAGATAGTTGGCTCATAGATATGTATGCTAGTTTTTAACTTCTCAGTGATAACATATCTAATTTAATCTAAAGGAAGTCCATCAAGATTAATTACATAACACAGTTTTGATAACTATAATTTCTCTCTCATATATGCCATAATAAAAAAAGTTGACAGTATTATAATTACTACTTTAGAAACTGCAAAAAACCTGCATTATGATAAAATTAAAATAGTAAACAGACTTTAAGATTTCCTAAGAAGAAACAGTGGAATATTCTAGATCTAAACACAGTACTTATAAATTAAGTATGTGTATGTTTCACAAAGTAAAATAAAACTCCAAATGGCACTACTACCTCTACAAAAACCCTTAAAACGTATCAGAAAGGCTTTTATTTTATTTGAGAACGTGATAATTTGAAACATCTGTGAACTGGCTAAAGAACAATGGAACAAGAGAACTTATGAGGTGTATTGAACCAAGAATCATGTAGAAGGAAATATAATACTATGAATGAATTTACGATTAGGAGTCCAACTACCCAAGAAAAATTTCATACATCATAATAACTGTCTTCAGTTACTCTTTAATAGTCAATTCTGCAAATTTGCATATTTTATATCTGACATTTCAGTCAGAAAGTACTTCAGATTCAGTATCTACTAACCTCAAACCAGAGAGATGGAAAAAAAACTAACAAGAAATAATCTATAATGATAAAGTATCATTATATAAGGTATAACTTTAAAAGATTCTTTATAGACTCAATAAATTTGTGTTCCTGTATAAGTATCCTATTGAAAGAATAATGATATTTACTACTTTAAAATTCAGTCAATACCGTTTCTTTTAATAAAAATATATATTCATATTGACTTGACCTCTGATATAGACAAACTACATCTTCACACATGCAGTACTCATTTTAGTCTAGAAGGATGCACAATCACTTTCACCAGGTACACTGAGGCATGCATGAAGTAACACTCCAGGCATGCTTTAAACCCAGAAAGGAGCAGCTCAGCCACTTACAGCAGTGCCAAGTCCATGCTTGAAAGTGCTCTATATATTCAATTGTAGACAAAAATATTTTACAATTAAAGTAGCTAGCCACAGAGTATCAGAAAAATTACATACTTGGGTTTATTAAATACAAATTTTAAGCATTTCTATAAAACTAGTCGCTCTAATATATGGAATATCTTTAGTAGTATTAGCCAAAAGGGGAAAGAAAATAGTAACATATTATTTCTGAATTAACATATAAAACTGAGGAGGGAAAAATCATCCTTTTTTTTTTAATGGCCTTGAAAATGACAAACATCAAGGGTATAACGTTCTGGATCATTACCAACCAACCAGCTGTCACTGAGCTGACTTGCTCAAGGTGACCCCATGTGTTTCAGGGTAGAACAGGATTTCCAATGGCAGATTCCTTCTAAAGTACAGCACCAGGTCTGTCTTCTATCTTTGAGTGGACCTGAACTTCTAACTTTTTAAGTTAGCATCTGAGTATGTAACCATTTGCACCACCAAGAGATAACCCTTGCTCATTATACTGACGAAAACACAGCACTTTTAAAAAAAGTATTAATGCAGCTGTATCTTACCTATAATCATTAAACTTTCCGTTTTAGAACAAATAGTATTTAATGTTACTTCTATCCACAATTTAACCAGTTACAGTCAAAGGAGGGAGTTATTATTCCCTCGCAGGGAGTGTCTGGAAATGTATTTTTGATTGTTCATAATGATTAGGGACAGTAGGAATGCAGCACAACTGGCATGTAATGAAATGGGGACCAAGGACGCCAAATGTCCTTCAATATACAAGGCAGCTCTTCACGATGAAGAACTGCCCTGTCCAAAATGCTATTAGCAACCCAATGAGCAAAACTAAAAGTGTCACTAAAAAGCATTATCTATCATTATTCTCCACTTCACACTCTACCCACCCCCACCCCACACAGGAGTAGTTTAAAGAATATGTGGGCAGTGCTTGTTTTAATTCAGTACATGCAAGACAAAGAAGGACTTTTTTTTTTTTAAAAAACTCACCAGAGATATTCTTAAAATGGAATTTTATTATAAATAGGACAGATATACCTAAGCTTTCAAAGATTAAAGCCCTTTGGAGAAAGCACTGACCAATTTACATGTAAGTGTGACTATCCATAAATAGGTAACTGTGGAAGATAACACCTGAAAACCTTTAAAATTCAACTGTTCATAACCATAACAGAACTTTTAGAATCTACTTTTAAAGTCCAAACTGTAAACTTTTAAACTTTTAAAGTCCAAATCTGATTAGGTTTTACTATCTTTCTACCTAGAAACTCTGGCAGCGTATTGCCTAAAAAACTTGACTGCTAACCAGAAGGCTGGTGGTTCAAACCCACCAGCCACTCCTCGGAAGAAAGGTTGGCCAATCTACTTCCGTAGTGATACCACCTTGGAAACCCAAGGAGGGGTGGCTATGAGTCGGGTCCGACTCAACGGCACATAACAACAACATCAACAATGTTTCTACCTAATGCATCCAAGTCAGATTCAAAGGTTTCACAAACCCACTGCCATTGAGTCTATTTTGACTCATGTTACTCATTTTGTATGATACGTTTTTGTATCATGTGAACACCTCTTTGTAAGTGTGTTAATACTTTATTTTTTTTAAGGAGGACTGAAAAGTACAATCCAATACTGTCCTACCATTTTGTAAATGGACCATACTGGACTACAACATAAATACTACTACTTTTTAGCTAAAATAAGGAGCTGTGGTGATGCAGTGCCTAAGGCATTTAACTGCTAACCCAAAGGCTGGCAGTTCAAACCCAACAGCCACGCCGCACAAGGAAGACTGGGCAATCTACTTCTGTAAGGATTCACTGCCTCAGAAACCCAAAGGGGGTCGCTACGAGTCAGAATCAACTCAATGGCAATGAGTTTGGTTTTTAGTTTCTAGCTGAAACAGTAATGCGACAAGTCAAATTCTATTAAATGCTGGGAAAAGGCTAAGAGTAATGAAATAATAGGGAAAGTTCTTCGGGATGAAAATATTATTAGTGGCATTATTCTCAAGAGCTCTGGATCTAAATAAAGTGTGTTAGGTTTAATTTCTAAAAGATCTTATTACCCCTAACTCATACAATAAGGGCTCTCAGGTCAAGACTGAAATGAATCATACAATTCTTTATCATTTTACCAGATATAACCCCTTCTGAGAAATCTTCTAATACCATATATCTAAGTTCAAAACTTTGTTATAAACCAAGATCATATTTCTTTAAAGAGGGAGAGAGGGAAGGATGAAGGGATGGAAAAAAGAAGACAGGACAGAAAGAAGAGACAGGTAAAAAACATTTTTTTTTCCTCAAAAGTAATTTTAGCAATACCTTTTAGACTTACATTGGTGATAATTCGATGGAGTGAATTTACCAACACATAGTGAAATGTAGAAGGGGAATTCTGAGACAGGCAGATCTGTATAGAGAAAAAAAGTACATTATTTCTCTAAGAAAAACATTCCATAACATAAATGAAAGCAAAGGACAGCAAAAAGGCATGCTTTTTTAGAACAGAATAAATTTATTAAGGTCTTAAAATTAACTCTGAGAAATACTGATAAAAGTAATTATTCCTCTTTTCAGTCTTTTCACATTTACAAAGAACAACAGTATCAGTAAACATACCTGGATAAACACCATGCTCTTACCTTAAAATGTTGGTTGTTGTGAGGGCTTATTCGAAAGCAGGATACAAGGCAGTCAATCATTAGATCCACATCTGCAGGCTGACTGCCTCTTGAGAATGGTTTACTTGGATTAAAAAGTAAGTTCTGTAAAAATCCCAATAGAATATATGAAAGCCTTTAAACAGTCAGACTGTTGTTTTTTTCCCCTAACTAGTATTTATACATGTGATGTTCCACACATCATTCACAGATGGCAGTTACATTCAGTAGCCAGAAAAAGTACCAAACTATTATTGTGAGTCATCAGTCTAACAGAATTCTTACCACACCACACATGTGATTTCTCTCAGGACTGAATTTCCATATGATTGTAAATGTAAGTCTACTTATGCTAACTTAAGAAAAATGGAGAATTCTGTGTTTTTTAATATTCTAAGTCACTTTATTAAGGTTGATGAACACAGTAACAACAAAAGCAGGTCTTATGAACTTGAATTATCAAGTAAGACTCAGAACTTTAGTGTTAGCAATGATCTTAGACATAATACTGATAGTAAAAGTTAATTTTTCATTTAATTTTATTAAAATTTGTAGTAGTGAAATACTAACCACTTACCTTAAGATCAACCACCATAGACTGAACTAGTAAGAAAATGACAGAGTTGTCTTCCCAGTTGATATAAGTACTTGCTTTACACAGCTTGACACAAGCAATTGCAGCACTTTCTGTCAGCTGCCTGCTTCCTCCATGGCCAGCAAGTGCTTTTCGTAGGCTATCCAGAAACAACTTCTAGAGAATTCAAGCGCAGCAGTAAGACAGAATATAAAGTTTCTTAGACTTCAGATTTATCTAATAAAGTGCCAAACTATCAGCCACTACAAATTATATTTAAAAATATAATAACTGATGTATGTGTATGGTTTTCAATTTCATAATTTAAATGTTCCTCAAATTTGAAACCAGTGAATCTGTTCTCCACTTTTTTTGATGAATTACCAAAGAAACATTATAAACAGTCCTTGCCCACCAAGGCAGTTGACTTCTCCACATTCAAATCAGTTGATCACACTCTCTTTTTGAAAATTATATTTCAATCTTCAACATTATATACTGTCCTGGTTCTGGTTTATATCAAACTGTTCTACCCTTATCTAACGCTCCAGGCTATGTGCACCCCTCACCCTTCTAAATAACAATGCATTCAAACCTGTTTTGTTGCTCTAAATTCTGTTGCTCAAAATATTTATCCATTCTTGTGATCTCAAGCCTTCTCTGCAGCTCACTAACAAATCTTTAATTTTCTCCCCTTCACTATTCTCCTAAACTGAAATCTCAGATCTTTCCACCTTCAAATATTCTCAAAAAATATAACATGTCAAAATTTAAATTCATTATTTTCTCAGAACCATATTCCACTCTGGACTTCCCATTCATCAGCCAAAACACCAAGCTGCATGTCTCACCTCTAATTCCAAACTTTGGATCTTTCCTCATTGCCCAAAGGATAAAGTTTAAACACAAACTGACTCTCAGTATCATCCATAATTACCTGTACCTTCACCTTCATTTCTTATCACTGCCTGCAACAAACTTCCATTCTCTAGCTAACAAACTTTTTTGAACATACCTTCAACATTCCCACTCCCATGTCCTTGAGCATCCTGGCTTCAACAACACACTGCTGCCAATCTAAATGTTCTTAGTACTTCAAGTTCAACTAAAGTTCTACACCTCTTCCAAAAATTCTCATCACCCAAATGCCATCTGAATTCACAAAGAACATCTAACCTGTACTATTCACTCAATAAACATGTACTCTTGGTATGTAATTATTCATCCATAAAAAAATAAATGGAACTCTAAAGCAACAGCAGCCTAACTCATTCTTGACTCCTCTAGTCTATTCTTCTCTTATTTCCCAGAGCCCACGTTCACTTCTTGTTCCTAAAGTCATAGCTATACTGTATTTCCCAGCTATTTTGCTGTTAGATGTGGCCATGTAACTAAGTTCTAGCCAATGGAATATGAATGAAAGTGATACAACCATTTCTGGGCCTGGCCTAGAAAAACCTCCTACATGCTTTCCTATGATCATTTTCCCTTCTAATTCAAAGAATGAAGACAACCCTCCTAGAAGCCACATGTTGAAGATGGGGGGCCTTTGCAAGCCAAGATCCTAAACCACAAAGAGGAGGGCAGTCCTACAAACTTTTCAGTCAGCTGCTCAATACTATCTCATACACACAACAAAGTTCTATTGTGTTAGAGCCATTATGCTAGTTAACCTAATCAATGCAATAAAACAACTGTAGCAACCCCAGAAACTGAAGAAGAGAAGGACTTCTCTTACATGGGTTATAGTCTAGGATGGTGTAAATGAAAGAACGAGCTGATGTACTTCAAGTTCCAATTATTTTTTATTTATTTCTTCACTTGCTTTATAGTAAGGAGAAAAGAGTGACTACCAAAGCCTGGGAGGAGACTTGTCACATGCAAGAACTAGGAGCAAAGTACACTGGCTATCTGTGGGAGTCCAGTCAGCAAAACCAAGCAGTTCTCCACAGTGTACCAATAAGGGGACTACAACCCACACCAAACCCACTGCCATCAAGTCAATTTTGACTCACAGTGACCCTATAGGACAGACCAGAACTGTCCCATAGGGTTTCCCAGGCTCTAAGTCTTTACAGAAGCAGACTATCACATCTTTCTCCCATGGAGTGGCTTGGGGGTTTTCAAACTAATGACATTTTGGTTAGTAGCCAAAGGCTTAAAGCACGGTGCCACCAGAGCTCCTTCAATAGAGGGACTATCTCCAACCAACTCTAAGGTAGTCCAGAGAGCAGTCAAAGATTTACATAAAATTCTGTGCTCTCAAAAAGTATACATATTCTACTCTTATGACTATGGGAACACTTTTTTAAATGAAAACATACCACCATTTTCTAACCACAGTTAAACAGAAAATTTGAAATATAAAAAGATAACAAAGAAAACAAACAATTTAAAAACTATGAGAAACTCCTCTAAATCAAATGTGATATCACTGTTCAAGGTAAGAGAGAAATAAGAGATTAATTAGAAATTACAAAAATCTATGACTGTAGCTAAGAAGTACAATTCCACATCTTAAAGATACTTTTACGATTTTTTTAAAAAACAGGTAAACTAAGCCATTTCCCTTATGAAACTAAAATACAAATAAAGCTAAAATTAGTAAAACAGAAAATAGAAATGTTAGAAAACAGTCAAAAGGCTATTTTTTAAAGACCAATAAAAAAATACTAGCACACATGAATGAGGAAAACATGAGAAATATTAAAATAAAGAAAGTAATACATAAAGACACTGAAGCAAATAATTATAAGAGACTACAGCAATGTTACAAGGAGATCTGGTAATACAGTGTTTAGTTAAAGCATTTGACTGCTAACCAAAAGGTCAGTAGTTCAAACTCACCAGCCACTCCATGGAAGAAAGATGAGGCAGTTTGCCTCCATAAAGATTTATAGCCTTAGAAACCCAATGGGGGTCACTGTGAGTTAGAAATCAACTCAATGGCAGTGAGTTTGGTTTCTGGTTTATAGCAATGTTGTAAGGAAATACATTCCATACACACATATGAAGGAACTCTGGTGACATAACACGTAAGGCATTTGGCTGCTAACCAGAAGATCCATGGTTCAAACCCACCAACCACTCCTTGGGAGGAAGATTGGGCTTTCTACTTCTGTAAAGATTTACAGCCTTGGAAACCCAATGCAAGTCGTTACGAGTTAGAATCGAATCGTCTGGTGGCATAATGCCTAAGGCATTTGACTGCTAACCACAAGGCTGGCGGTTCTAACCCACCAGCCACTCCTCGAAAGGAAGACCGTGCAGTCTACTTCTGTAGAGATACTGTCTTGGAAACCCAAGGAAGGGTCAACTATGGGTTGGGACCAACTCGACAGCAGTGAGTGAAAGCACATCCTGGATAGAGCGGGAGAACAATGTGGAACAAAACTCAAAATCACACAAAAAAAGACCAGGTTTGCTGGTGTAATAGAGCCTGGTGAGACCGACCCCTAAGACTATGGCCCCTAGCCACCCTTCAGGTCTGGAACTGGCTCACTCCTGTGGCTTCCAGCCAAACAACAGATAGGCATATGGAGTGAACATTTACATCAGGCAATACACTCCTTGGAACAATAAATCATGGAAGAACAGAAGGGCAGTGTTTTCACAGGCAGACAGCTGGGGGGCAGGAATGCATGGGAGGGAAGGACACAGGGAAGAGGTAACTATGGGGAGGAAGTGGGAAGAGAGCTGTTATACTGTGGGGAATTGCAGTCAATGTCATGAAGCAAAATGTGTATGAACTGCTATATGGAAAACAAATTTGTTCTATAAACTTTCACCCGAATCACAATAAAAATTATTTAAAAAATATATATACATATATACATATATAGATATATATACACACACACACACACAGATATCTATATCTATAGATATAGATATATATGTATCTCCTAGCAAAAATAAACTGTCAAAAGTGACCTTAAAAGAGACAGAAAAATAGATCAATAAGCATAACAGAGCGCAAACAAAAGTGATCAATGATTTATCATCTTTTTTAACAGACAATAAACATACACGCTACTTTTAGAAACAGCCATAAGAAACGAGTAATAGTACTGGACTGGAGAGGGAAAATATAAAACTAAAGGGCAGAGATGAAAAGGAGGCTTACTATTCTTTCTCATGAACAGTGAAAATGTTCATCATGTTAATTTATTACTATTCTTCTGAAATCAGTAATAAGGTCAAAGAAAATCTTCAGAAAGGGTTTTAAGTGCTGATGATTTTATAATTCAGTTCTAATTTGATAATTTCTATTACTTAAATTATTCCAGATGTCTCTAAATATATTTTAGCTCTGAATTTAAAGTAAAAGTTTAAACAACAACATAAAAATTATCTGATCAGATATAATTTAGATCTTAAACCATCAGGGTTCTGAGCTCTTTAAGTTTGTTTTGTTTTTTTTTAAAGAACAGTAACTTAAATGCTCCATAATCAGGAATGAAAAATACGGTATATTCAAATGAAGGAACACTATGTAACAGTTATAGATAATTATAGATTAACAATGGTTCTCAAACTTTAGTGTACAATCTTGGAGGGCTTCTAAAACACAGACCTGATTCAGCAGGTCTATGGCTGGGTCTAAGAATTTGCATTTCTAGAAAGTCTCCAGATGACGCTGAGTGGCTGATCTGAAGAACACTCTTTGAGGACTATCAAACCAGGTATCTATTTATCTGACTATCTATATATCCCCCTCACTCTCCTGAAAATATAAAAACCAGACTGGAAGAATATACATATAACTCTATGTCTCTGAAGCAAAAAAGAAAATGGGACTAGTGGAATCAAAGATGTCTTTAGTTTTATTTGAAAAATTTTTTTTACAGAGAGTTTACACAAGTATTACTTATATAATTTGTAAAATCATCTATAAAGAAAAAAAAATATGAGCAATATATCAAAATATTAACAGGAGTATAGGTAACTGTTATCTTCCAAGGATTTCTAGTGGTATAGTGGCTACAGCATTTGGCTGCTAACTAGAAGGTCAGCGGTTCAAACCCATCAGCTGCTCCACAGGAGGAAGATGAGGCAATCTACATCAGTAAAGATTTACAGTCTTGGAAACCCAATGGAGTTCTCCATGAGTCAGAAATAACTCAATGGCAAGTGGGTTTGGGTTTTGGTTTTGTATATTTCAAATATTTCTGTTAAAAAAAATTATGCTCAAAATAACAGACTGGAAAAATATTTACAATAGACTAAAAGTAAAAGACTACTGCTCTTAATACACAAAAAGTCCAGCAAATTTAACAAAAGACTAGCAAACAACAGAAGAAAGTAGTTACAGAAAATGAACAGATATTTTACACACACAAAAAAAACATGTAAATGGCCAACAAATATATCAAATGATCTTGAATTCTCAAAGAGGAATAAAAATTAAAACCAGGTACTATTGACAGCCATTAACAGTGGTTATTGCAGAGGGAAGGTGACTTAGAAACTAAGGTGAGAATACATAAAACATAAATTTTCAAAAATCCAAAAAGATTTTAAAATGTAATTTTTTTGTAAGGAGAAAAATACTAGAGAAAAAGATAAAAGCATATTTCAAAAACCTCCAGGAGTGCCATATACAAGGTCACATATTGTATGATTCCGTTAACATGAAATGTCTACAATATAAATCCATATAGACAGAGGGCAGATTAGTGGTTGCCAGGCGGAGGGGGAATACGGGTCATGACTGCCAACAGGTATGGTGTTTCTTTTAGAGATGATAAAAATGTTCTGTAATTAGTAGCAATGATTGCACAACCACTGTATGGTACCTCTAAAGGATGAATTTTACAGATGCAAAGTATACTTCCATAAAAAAGCAACATAAAATCTTAGGGAACAAAATCTGACCAAAAAAGCTGTGAACGAGAAAGAACAAGACTGGGTGATGACATACAAATTTTAAACATGCAAAAAGCAAAAAGAATCCATAAACAAAGTTTAAAAAGAGAAACCAAGTAAAGAAAGCAGAAACACAGAGCCTACAAATCCATAAAACACAAGCAATTCAGTGGAAAAATAGGGAACTCACAAAAGATATTCAAATGGCCAACAGACATTTAAAAAGATGTAGCCCTAATTATTAAAACAAATTCACTTAAGCGCACTAATGAATTTAAGAGTACTAATGAATTTAAGTTGGAAGGAAGGCTGGGCAATCTACTTCCGTTGTGATACCACCTCAGAAACCCAAGGAGGGGTCGCTATGAGTCGGGTCTGACTCGACAGCACATAACAACAACAACAACAATGAACTTAAGAGTACCAATGACACAGAATGAGGGAAATCACTGCTGATATCAGATTGATGTTGGCTAAAAACAAAGAATACCAGAAAGACATTTACTTGTGTTTTATTGACTATGTAAAAGCATTAGACTATGGGATCATAACAAAGTATGGATAATACTGAGAAGTATGGGAATCCCAGAATACTTAATTGTGCTCATGAAGAACATAGACCAGAGGCTGTCTGTCATTCAAACAGAACAAGGGGATATTGCATGGTTTAAAATTAAGAAGGGAGTACATCAGGGTTGTAACCTTTCACCATACTTATTCAATCTGTATGCCAAGCAAATAATGCGAGAAGCTGGACTATATGAAGAATGTGGCATCAGGACTGGAGGAAGACTCGTTAACAGCCTGCAATATGCAGATAACACAAGCTTGCTTGGTCAAAGTGAAAATGACTTGAAGCACTTACTGATGAAGATTAAAGACTGCAGTCTAAAGTATGGATTATACCTCAACATAAAGAAAATGAAAATTCTCACAACTGGACCAATAAGGAGCATCACGAGAGACAGAGAAAAGATTGAAGTTGTCAAAGATTTCCTATTACTTGGATCCACAATCAACACCCATGGAAGCAACAGTCAAGAAATCAGACATATTGCACTGGGCAATAAAAACCTCTTTAAAGTGCTGAAGAGCAAAGATGTCTCTTTGAAGACTAAGATGTGCCTAACCCAAGCCATGGTATTTTCAATCGCCTCATATGCATATGAAAGCTGGACAATGAATAAGCAAGACCGAAGAACAATCGATGGTTTTGAACTGTGGTGTCCGTAAAGAACACTGACAAGACCATGGACTGCTAGCAGAACAAACAAATCTGTCCTGGAAGAAGTGCAGCTAGAATGCTCCTTGGAAGTGAGAATGACCACACTTCATCTCATCTACTATGGTCATGTTACTAGAAGGTCACTCCCTGGAGAAGGATATCATGCTTGGTAAAGTGGTGGGTCAACAAAAAAAGGGGAAGACCCTCAACAAGATGGACTGACACAGTGGCTGCAATGATGGGCTCAGGGATAGCAAGGATTGTGAGGCTGTCACAGGACCAGACAGTGTTTCACTCTGTTGTACACAGGGTCTCTATGAGTCAGAGCCAACTCAAAGGCACCTAACAACAATAATGAATTTATAGCAGCCTTCTAACTATGTTTATTCTTCTATTAAACACAAACTGGGGGTGGGAGGGGGGCTTATTCTAAAAGGCTTTTTTTTAAAAAAAAAAAAAACATCAAATAAAGTGTTTTTATAATGCAAAAGGTGGGACTTACATCTAGGTGAAGTACCATAATCAGGTTTACAAAGATTACCAAATTCACTTATTTTCTCATCAATACATAAGTTCTCTATCTAATATTTCTACAAAGTATTGAATCATCCAGCTGACTTTGAACATCTCCACCTATAAGTATGTCAGACAAGAACCCATTTAAAGTTTAGTTTGCTAAGAATATTTTCCCAAAAACTGTGGGGAAAAAAGGTATTAGCAAATAAACTTAATACTAAAATTAAAAAGAATATTAATAACTAGCTCATATTATTTAAAAATTAGATGAGCCCCTTAGAATTACCAGTTTTTATAGTTCTAATTTCAGTACAGATGGTATATACAGTAGTCTGCCTTCATGATAAAATGCTGTGAAAATTGTTCTGAAATACCTCAAGCAAGGTATTAGACAACTGCAGTAGCATAAAGTGAACCCATCTCTAATTACACAAAAATACTACACTATAACAGTGATAAAGTCTAGTCATGCAACCCTTCTAGTGCCTAGAAAAACTACTGTCAACACTAACAGAAGTATCATTTAGTCTTCTCTGTAAAAGAATGAAACTAAAGGATTGTTTCAAATCTTTAATCAATGAGTGGTATTATTGTTCTGCAAAATAAAATTACATATGAGTAGTTCTCTGCTCAGGCCAACAAACAAAGAGACCTAAAATTATGGTAATTAGAAATAAAACCAAAACCAAACTCACTGCCATCAGTCAATTCTGACTCACAGCAACCACCATTGGGTTTCCAAGGCTGTAAATCTTTACAGAAGCAGACTGCCTGATCTGTCTTCCACGGAGCAGCTGGTAGGTTTGAATCACTGACCTTTTGGTTAGCAGCCAAATGCCTTAACCACTGCACCACCAGAACCACTTACATTAGAAATGGTCCCCTGAAAAATACTATGCTTAAACAATGCTAAGCCTAAAGTAGTAAACACCTTAAGTAAAATAAAGTGCTTCACGTCTATACTGATTACAGAAATAATTTGCCTTCTTTACCTTATTCATGTTGTTTTCATCAACCACATCCTTGGATATATCCTGGATTATTTCTGGACACAAGATGAGAAGAATGATTTGTAGTGGCCAAACTGCTGCTTTACGTTTGGTGCTTTCAGCAAAACCATCCACCAAGTCAAACAGCTTTTCTGCACACTCTGTATGAAAAAGATAAATATTAATTGACATTATTAAATGAAAAAAAAAAAAAAAAAAAAAAAAAACCTCTGGCATTAAATTAAAAGCTATCCATACACCAAAAGCTACATTTTAAAAAGGTAAGTTTGGCCACACTACGCTTCTCTGCATCACTGAATCATCCTGGAAAATTCCGTATTTCAGAATGGCCAATAGAACGTTTAGCCCTGATGCACAGGGTGCGATGCTAAGTGCAATATACTCAAGCCACAAAGACTGGGCAGCTTCTGAAAGGGAATTACCAAAGTTCCCCAGGAATCTATATTTTCTGCCTTGCAGTTGTTTCCCAAGAACTCTTACACCACAGATAAGAATATTACTGTTTATACACATCTCCCTAATACAAAATAAAGTCTCAGCGCACAGAAAACTGCTTTCCTACAATAAAAGCCATCAAATAACCCAAATTTCAAACTTACTTATCTACTTCCTTAAAGGAAAGTAAAGGAGTTGGGTATAATTTAGAAATATGAGAGAAAAATACTACTTTCTTATTGACATTAATTGTTTGTAACTGGAGATGTAAAAGCCCCTTAATAAGCAATCAATTTGGAAAGTGATGTTTTTCCCTCATAATAACAGTTTAAAAGACAAAAAGAAAAAAAAATCACTCTCATCCTTACCAGCCATATCAGTCTGTGGAATCTGGTATAATTTTGTAAATTCATCTGGATAATTTTCTACCCAGTTCCAAAACGCCTACAAATAACAAAATACATGTTTCTATAAGAAAACAGTGATTTATTTCTCAACCTAGTAAAAAAAATGCAACAAGGCATTTATATCACACAGTTCTAGTTTCTTCAAGAACACTGTGATTTATTCATCCTACAAAATTTTAATGCTAAATTACACTCAAGTCATGATTCTTTTGTTTCAAAATTCTAAAAGCAGCAAAAGTTACAGGCAAAAATTAACAAAAGTATAATACCAAAGAGGTGTTAATTTACCTTTTCCAAACTATTTATAACTGCTAACTGGGCAACTTTCTTTAGGGCTTTAAATTTAAATGCTGTTTCTGGAAAGAAATAACATTTTTAAAATTAGTTTTAGATAAATAATTTATCACAAATACAGTTCAGAGCACTAGCAAAACTAACTTTCCTTTCACATGTAAACTTTTATTCCAGCATTATTTGTAGACAATGTAAAGACAATATAAACCACAAAACTCAGTAGATAAGAGTTCTGCCTGATAAACACGAACTCAATAAAAAGTAAATATTCCTTAAACTTCAAACAAAGGTTACTGTGAGGATTTTTTTCCTTCTATTCTATTTTTAGTATCTTTTTTTAAATTATAAAACACATGGTCATTGTAGAACATTAAAAAAATACACAAAAGTCTAAGGAAAATTTAAAAACTCATCCATAATATTACCATTCAGAGACAACCAGAGTGGACAGTTTGGTGAATTTTCTTCCTTTTCTTATACATGTAAAAGACAAATATATTTAATATAACTGAGATCATATACTCTATATGAATCTTTTGTTTTCACACAAAATAGCATCCCTATCATTTAAAATTATTTAAAATTTTTCCCTATCATTTAAAATCTTTCATACATGTATTTGATGGCTGTACATACAATAGTAACTATTATATGAACAATTACAAGATACCACGTATTTTCAATATAACATAATTAATTCCTTCAACAATTCTGAGAGTTTCAATGCTTTCAGAATATTTCAGATGAGCAAACTGGTATGTCTGAAGATACAGATCTCATTACTGTTGAGCTGGGCTTTAAAGTCATGGTTTTTTCAGTGTGCTTTAATGTCTCGCAGAATATTTAAGTCATTAAATGGGAGCTCTGGTAGCATAGTGGCTAAGACACTTGCCTGCTAACCAGACGGCTGGCGGTTCAAACCCACCAGCCACTCCTCGGAAGGAAGGTT